CCCACTCTGGAATTTGTTCTATGTGTTTCTAAATCTCAAATGTTTGACTTATGTGAAAATGGTGCCAAGGTAAATGAGACAGAACCGGAAACAGGAACTTACATGCAAGCCTATATGTTAATGGCAATCTCTGATGTTTGCATTTCTTTCTTTGTACAATGGAAATTGGTATAATATTTGTTAGGACTAGACAAATAGTCCTGCTAATAAAAGACTGCACCCTGGATATGATTCACTCCCAGTAGAATACAGTTATGGAAATGACTTTAACATGGCTTTTTAATTGTAGTATTAAGTCTTCCAGTCCATGAATATGACATTTTCTTCCATTTATTTAATGCTTTTAATTTTAATCAGCAATGATTTATACACTTAAGTGTTTAGTTCCTTTACATCTCTTGTCAGATTAAATCCAAAATATTTCATTTTTTGTTGCTATTTTAAGTGTATTGTTCTTTTAATTTCACATTCTGATTGTAGCAGCATAATTAATTATGGTGTATGGTCTTGTATACTGAAATCTTGCTAAACTCTCTATAATCTAGTGGTTCTTTTGTAGGTTTTTCAGGGTAATACATGTTGTCTGCAAACTTTACTACCCCCTTACAATTTCAAGGGCTTTCTTATTTTTCTTTTAATTTTAATTTTCTCTTTTGATTATTTTTGTTTTCTAAATGTTTGATTTTTGCTTGTTTTCCACTGACTAGATCCTTTTTAATAATGTTGAGTATACTCATGATGATGATATTAAATGACGGTAACTTTAGTAACTGAGAGCTATCATTCTTTTTACAAAGATATATCTGAATATTAGTCAAAGTAAATATCCATGTAAAGCAATAGTCCGCTAGTTCGTTTTGGATTTTTTGCTTTGTCCACTAATTGAATTGTCATTAGTTTCACTCTACATATAAATAAGAAAAATCAAAATTACCTCTCCATCTGCTTTAATATCTGGTAGTATTTAGGAGAAAGTACAATTTTATTCAAATATGCTCTCCTCCAATAATAAATGTATTTCTGGTCCTGCTCCTAGTGTTGAGGATGCTGCTGCAGGGAAAACACAAATGCCATGGTCTCGTTGTATCCTCCCCCAGTACTATTATTTTTTTAAAGATTTATTTATTTATGCATGGAGAGGTGCAGGGGCAGTGAGAAGATTCATCAGAGACAGAGACAGAGTGGGGAGGAGAACAGCCAGACTGACTGAAATATACTGCTGAGGGGAGCAGTGGGTGAGACAGGAGAGGTCTGCTGCACCATGTGGGTCATCTCCCAGGCCGGAATTGAACTTGTACTGAAGTAGCTGTGGCAAGCTTCCCTGTGCTGTGCTTTAACCTGCTGTGCCACCAGGGAAGGCCCTCCCCCAGTACTATTTGTTGGAGGCTCTGAGTAAGTTAATAGTGTATTATGCATATAATACATAAGGAATCATGGGTTTATTCAACAAATCATTCATTAAGTATCTCACACATTCCATACATAAGACACATTCTTACACATTTATGTTGTAACAGTGAATGAAACCAATTCCCTGCTTCCATGGAGCTTATGTTTGTGGTAAGGAGGCAGGTAAATAGATAAACAAATGAAAGGTAGATGGTGAGTTCTCTAAAGAAAGATAAAGCAAGGTAAAGAGCTAACTGATCTTGAGCAGGAGCTCTCTTTATGTAGGGTGATCAGAAAAAGCCTCTCCCATAAGATACGGCATTTTCTCCGACAGTTGATGATGTGAGGAAACTGCAGCAGGTCCTTTAAGATATGTATGTATTTTATGGGGGTCTGTTTTTTAAATAGGTTTCTCTGCTTAAAGTGAACCCTCAAGACCCTATTGGTGACATTGTGCTGACTTGTTAGTCAAGAGCATAATTTGGGGGAACCCTTTCAGGTTGAGGGACGCTTGCAAGTGCACATGGTCTCAAGCAGGAGTGGGTTTAGTTTGGCAACTAGTAGCAAAGAGAAAGTATCAGGAAATGGTACAGGGGATGAGTAGAATTGGGTCAAAAAAGATGTGCAGCCCAGATTAAAATCATCACTTTTGTCTTGGAAAAGGGAAGCCATGCTGGCAGCATGGAAACATGACAGAATTCATATTGTGTTAAATAATAAAATTCTGGCCCTCCCTGGTGGCGCAGCGGGTTAAAAGCACAGCACAAAGAAGCTCAAGCCACTTCCACATGAGTTCGAGCCCCGCCTGCCCCCCCCAGGTGACCACATGGCAAGGGGCAGACCTCTCCTGACCCCCCCCTCCGCCTGCTGCTCCCCTCAGCAGTGTACTTACTCGTCGATCTGCCTGTTCTGCTCCCCACTCTGTCTCTGGTGAATCCTCTCGCCCTCCGCATCTCTGGCCTGTACCCCAGTTCTGTATGAATAAATAAATCTTTAAAATAATAATAATAATCCAATCCAAGTAATTTTAAAAATCTAATTGGCTTTACGAAACCATTCATGAATTGGACAGCATTCCATTTAATGAGTGGAAAGGCTCTGCAAAAAGCAATGTCACAAGGAAAGGATTTTATAGGCAGAAAGAGGACAAGATAAAAGAAGAGAAAATTGCTTTGAGTTTAGGTAACCTATCTGTGGGGAATAGATAAAGATCTTGTGATAGATTATCTCATTTTCCTTAAGGGAATAGAAAAAAATAACTCATTTGTACTGACCATTAAGTTCTGTACTCCTGGGAACTGTTGAAGCCCAAGGTATGTTGAAATCATAGTTAGATTAAGTATTAAGTCTTCGTGGGCTTAGCATAAGCACTGCCATTTTAGGCTTGCTCTTTTCTTTTTTTGACATGTGAAAGGACCACTCTGATTGCTTTTGAGACAGTAAGCATTGGGAGGGCAAGGGCAGAGGAGAGAGAGTAGTGAAAAGGCTATTGCAGTTTGTAGATAAGAGATGATAGTGGCTTAGTACACAGTTCTAGCATAGGAGCTGGTGAGAAGAGGCCAGGATCTGGACACATTTTAAATGCTCATATGGACTGAAAGAGATAAAAAAAAAATTATACCGTGTGATTCCATATATATCAAATTTTAGAAAATACAAACCAGTGTATAGCAATAAAAGGTTTTTTGGGAACAGGCAGGGGAGGTGAGAGAGCATGAAGACTCTTAAGGGGGAATATTAATTATCTTGATTTTAGTGATGGTCTCAGGGTTATAACATGTTAACAAGTACCATATTGGACACTTTAAATGTGTAGTTTGTATATGTCAATGATTCCTCAATAAAGCTATTAAATGAAGAAGATATGAAAATGAAGGATGTATAGGATTGATGGATTGGATTTGGGGTGTGAGAGAAAGAGCTGGTCTGTAAGTCTTTGACTTGAGTGCCTGAAAGACAGAAATTACATTGAGATAGGGAAGACAAGGAAGGAACAGGGTTTGAGTAACAAAGAGTTTGGTTTTTAACATCTAGATGCCTAGTAGGCATACTTAATATTCTAAAGTAGATAAGCACCTATGCAGTTGAAAAGAAATGAACTCCTAAGGGCTCTATTACTTGGATGGTTGGCAACCTTGTCCATTGTCCAGTCTCCCTTGGCAGTGTGGGACTACACTGGGCCAGTGTGGCATATCATGATCTCAGTAGACAAACATCTGTAGACATGTCTTTCCCCTCTGCCCATCTTCAGTGTTATAAATAGCAAGGACAGCAGGTCATTCTTTCCTGTTGTTTTAAAATAACCCAATTAGTTTGAGTATCCAACTGATGTCTTTGTTTGGCATTAGAGGTTTACAAATGGCCTTGGTAGAGACCCCATTGAACACTCAGAGGTTACAAGTGCAGAGTTCCAAATGGAGCAGTGTAGCAGTCATCACCAGGCTGACCTGTGTGCTTGTGATCTTGGTATTCTTTGTCTGTACTTGTGTTTTATTGCACATACAGATGTTGCGTTGAGACTTAAAAGAGTTGTGTTCTTTTTTGTGAAGAAACAAAATACAAAAATTGATTGTTGCTTGATGGAGGCTTTACAGAGATGTGATTAAAAGGAAGAGTGCTACCTGGGTTTGGTTACTCACCTAATATGTGAATGTCTCAGTGTTCTCATCTTTAGAATAAAGATATTAATAGGATCTACTCTTGTGAAGATTAATTGATACAAAGACCATAGAATAACATTCAGGGACTGTTCACTGCTATTAATTAGCTTTTCACTGCACTGACATTTATTCTTTAGTGGTTTCTGCCAGCTGGTTTCCACTAAATTGTGTCTTTAGTGGAAAACTAAAGGACCACCAAGTTTTTCTGGAGATGTACATCTTTACCCATACTCAAGTGCATTGGGTAGGATCTGGAGACACAGCAGTATAAAATGTCACCACAACAAATTTGTATTGGCTGAAAATACTACTTCTGGTGGATAATCACCTAAAGACACAGATTTTCAAGAGGCTCGAAAGAGAAAAACAACAATAACAAAACAAAAGACCTAGAGGGTGATCTGTCTGTCACATCACCCGCTTGCCATTCCACATACACCCTCTCCCCCCATCAAAAGTGAGCATATTGGGGCTCTAAGGGATGTCCTGGGATTCTGAAGGGGAATCCCCACCAGAGATCAATAGTGGCAGAATTTGGATAGGATCCATAGTTCAGCAAAGGAGGTGCCAAGGAGGGGGGGGTGTTGGATAGAGGGACTGCTTTGGTTGACCCTGAAATCCGAAGTCTAGAGAAGACCCCAGAATGGGTCAGCTGTTGGGACGGAACCACGTTGGGGGTTACGAGGGAGTGCTTGGCGCCAAGAAGGGGGTCGCGAGCAGGGCAAGGGCCGATGCCCGCGAGTCCCGGTTGCCACGGCAGCGGCCGGGGCGGGGCCTGGGAGGAAGGGGTGCTCTGGTCCTCCACTCCCGAGCGGGCGCTGACGTGTCGC